CAAGAAGAAACACGATTTCGACTCTTTTCAAAAATGGCAAATTTGACCTAACTTCACCATCGAAAAAAACAATTGATACATGAAATTTCAACATCAAACAAACGCTATTTTAAAGCACATCCTTTGCCGTTTTATGTGTTAAAAACTTTTTGGCGGCATTACAAAAGGGCGTCGCTGAGACACCGAAACGTGCAGGGTAGTTTCGCACCTTGGAACGCTGAAACAAGCTAGCCGCGAGTGTCTAGGCACACAAAAGTTTTCGCTAACTTAGCTTCTTTTACAAGGGGCACATTACGGGAAGCTCTTAAAATCTTTTGAAAAACGCTTTTCAATTTTATGGTTATAAAAAAAGAACTAAGTAGATTAACACTGCATTTGATTGCACGCAAGTAGCTGAAAAAGACAACGCTGTTAAGTTCTCATTGAGTGTAAATATTGACCTCGAGTTTCTGCACCTTAAATAAAGCCGCTAGAAACGGCTTGCTAGCTCTAAATGGGATTCGAGATCTCCAAGAATTACTTACCACAGTCGTTTCAACTGCAAGTGGCCGCAGTTTACTGAAATCTTCCGTCGTTTAGCCCCGGACTAAACGCTGTGATGCGTGATGAAAGCCCGTGTGTAATCGGCAGCACTAAAACATGAAATCCGGAATCCGGAAAGGGAAACGGAAACGGAAACGGAATACGGAATCTGTGAAAGAAGGTTCCAAGCGATCAATTTGAAAAAAAATATATATTAGCAATGACAATAAAATAAATAAACAGATAACAAAAGACACAAATGAATAACTTAGCTGAGGAGAGGAGAGGAGACCTGCTGTATCACTAGAGGAGTCGATTCCGGTGAAAAGACGCTTGATACCACTATCGGCAATGAATGCAAATTCTCATGGGACAGCAAAGCGAGGAGAAAAACGTTACTGACAAAAACCAATCCCCTTAAGAAAAAGGTAAGTTATATGGAGACAGACTTCGTTTGAATCGTCAGAGGAGTCGTTTATATAACTGAAAGTCGTCGCCGTCAAGTTTTTTTAGTGTCTCTTCTGGGTTGTCTTCAACGGTGTTCAGTTTTATTTATCAAGACAACTTACTCAATAGAACCATGGCATTGTGGAGTCCAAAGAGAAGAGAGAATAGTGCATGCATTTGCCTGATTCCGCAACCGATTACATCAAAATAATGCGCCAAGTTTAATAAGCCTCTTCTGACAAAAATACGGACGTCCACGTAATCTCAATTACCGGTACACCAGTATGCCATCAGTATTCACCTTGGCGAAAAAGTTGAACTTATTGCTAAAACACCGGAACTGTGGTCACGTCACCGGTCGGTCATGTGTGGAGTATTCAGTTTGGGGACAATCACGTGGTGTGGTCTGAGGCTAACTACTACTATTCTTGACAATTAGCTACAAAAGTGATATTTAACTGTATTATTCAACCAATGAACTCGTGAATAAAAATTACTCGTAAAATTACTTTCATCGGCCTTGCAGTGCAGTAACCCACACTACGGCAAACCTTATCAAGACACAATAACAAGAATATATTTAAGGGAACTGCCAAGAAAACTGAGACAAATTCTCTCTGGATTGTACAAAGTTGTGTAATGTGAAATTCTTTAATTTTCTATCACTGATATTTGATTCCGTATTCCGTTTCCGTTTCCGTTTCCGTTTCCTTGATTCCGTTTCCGTTTCCGGATTCCGGATTCCATGTTTTAGTGCTGCCCGTGTGCAATTTGGTCATGCAACTGTACTGACAAGGATAAATCATCGCACGAGTGTACAAGAAAAAATAAAATGACAATTAACACTGTTTTTTTTAGTTTTATATTTTATATTCCCAAAACATGTGGAACTAAACTTGATTTTAGGACGTACCAGCCGAATTTAACTCAAATAGTGAAAGAAAACAAATAGAGTAAGCCGAGTCTGCAAAACGTTTCCCACTAGTTTTCTTTTATTTGCACTTAGTCTTCTAAGCCTTTGCTTATAATAAACTAATCTTAACCCCGCTTGGGGTATAGACTTCTTTATCGATAACCTCAGTATGAATTGAGAGCAGGGAATGGAAACGAGTAAAACTGTTTAAAGAAAATTGGCCAATGCTCCGCACTAGAACATTCCTGAAAAACCACAAATCGACAATGGACAATGGACACGTTTGATGAGCGAAATACAAGTATTTAACTTGTTTAAATTACTGAAAGTAGTATTGCTTTGCTCCTCTACAGCAAGGGCATCTTTTGGCCAGACCTCAACCTGCTGTTGACGAATTGTACATTATCTAATCTCTCGACCCCCCCCCGAACAGAGGCCCTTAAAGGCCAGTCTACACAGCATGGGATTAGACCAGAATGCACGTACTGCTAGCTCCCGCCTGAAAAAAGGAATAGTCACCTGGCTCTGTCCGCCGCCACCCCCCGGCACTTGTTCGCAGGCTACAAAATAAACCAATTCACTGACAAGTTCTTTTTCATAACGTCAAAATCCGTCGCGTAAATGAAAAAAATGTTTTAAAATGCTTCAGCCATTTTACTTACTATCTTTTAACCAAATACCTTGCAGAGAAAAGAGAGAAAAGGCTGAAAATAGCCTTTCATTTCGATTTAAAATTTCAGATGGAGAATGCCCTTTTCCTAGGTCTGCACCCGCAGTGACTTGTGTGCTATAAAACTCCTTCGTGGTGGTATCTCTCAGGCGAAAACGACCGCCTAGCGGCGAGAAGCAAGGAGAGGAGTCCGTGGCCATTTTTGAAAAGAAAAAGAAGTGTAAAGGCAGCACCTTCGTCGCTCAGAAAACGTCTGCGTATATAATTTTCTTCAGGCCGCACAGAGTCATCAATTAATGTGCCTTTACGGACCCCTTTTAAATGAGCAGCCAGCATGGCCAGTAGGCTGTTCTGGAACGGTACCGCGTGATTTGTGCTCCGCCACCCGGAACCAAACATTTAGCGGTGGTGAGGAAAAACTTTTGTTTTCATGCGCCAATTCTGTGGATCAAACAAAGTCTGCTAGCTCTAAATGCAGTGATAAAGACATGAATTGTTGTATGTGTAGGGTCGATCCTAATGGAGAACCCAATGCCAACCAACCCACCCATCTCCTCCTCCTGCCCTAAACTTAAACGAAACTAAGTAGACTTTTCATGACGTTACCATAGTCACCTGAGACCTCTTGTAAAGTTCACTAAAATAATAGCAAGCACCTTCGTAGCCTGTTCAGAGACCCTCTACTTTTTCATTAGAGATCGTCGATCTATTTTATTTTTGGAGATCGTCAACTTCGCGTATGAAAATAAAAGCCGCAGGGGATTTATTGACCATTAGAGCAAGAGGCTCTCTCACCCTCGTCGCCAGGGCTTTTTTTTTCCTAGCCTTGGGGACGAGGTTGGGGGCTCTCGCACGCTCGCATCGCTCGCGTGCTCGTCTATTTTCGAAACGAAAGAGGAGTGTAAAAGCTGCACCTTCGTCGCTCAGAAAACGTCTGCGCATATCATTTTCAGTTCAGGCCATACAGAGTCATCAATCAATGTGCCTTTATGGACCCCTCTATGAGCAGCCAGTAGGTTGATCTTGAACGGTACCACGTGATTTGTTGCACCGCTACCCGGAACCAAACATTTAGAGGTGGTGAGGAAAAACTCTTATTTTCATGCGCCAATTTTGTGGATCAAACAAAGATCACCTAACGTAAATGCAGAAAACCTTACTTTTATCATTAGCATGGTAGGGTCGATGTTTGGTTATTGCCCTATTACTCACGTGACTAACAAGTCAGGAGCATACCAAGAGACTCACGACATCTTTTCTATGATCGCAATACATTCAGCATTACTGGGGCCACAGGCGCCACAAACCAAGTTTGAATATGTGCGAGATGCTATACGAACATACAACAAACACTTTCCCGTAAAACACTTTATATACCAGGAATTTCTTTTCCGGCGCGTTACGCGTCCCGCACTTCAGGGAAATGTCATCTTCCCTCGTGTTGACAGATTGAAAACATATACAAACTAAACTTCGATTCTGCCGTGATGCAGAGTTTAGTTAGCGGTACTGTGACCCCGTCTAGCATTTAAATTCAGGTAAATAAATAACCTTTCTGATTTTTTTAAGGTTTCAATACGATTAAAACTATAGCAAGCGAGTATTTCGACAATATTCCTCTCTACTAACTGTGATTTGAACTGCTTATTCGTCTCTTTATTATGGTTTATCGCAAAAATCAGTTGAAAGGAATCATGTTAAACCGAACAGAAACTCCGAAATATAATCTGAAACCGTTACAACTCTGACTAGGGTTTAAATGTCGAAGTAACTTACGTTTGCGAAGGATTAATATTCCAAGCGTCGAAACTTGCTTGTTGCACGGGCTTTCCTGGTGTCAAAATACTCTTCAGGTTTTGGTCTCTCGACGGTGCGCATTTGGAATGCCGCCAGAAATATTTTAACACAAACAACAGCAAAGGATATGCTTCAATAACAGTTCTTGTTTCATATTGAAATTCCGTGTACCAGCTGGGTTTTTACGATGGTGAAGTTAGGTCAAATTTGCCATTTTTCAAAAGTGCTGAAACCCGTGTTTCTTCTTACGGTCGGTACAGTCAAATTTAAACGGTTTATTTAAGAGTGTCAAGAGAATTTAAAATAAATTTTATTTAAGGGCATACCTAATTTGATTTTATATATGATGCCGTATATGAGCAAACACTAGGGCTTTATTTAGGAAAATTTTTCACAAGGCTTCACAAATTTGTAATTTTAATTTACTGTGTGAGATAATAGCAGAACGTGTAACAAGGCGGAATACCGTAACGTTCATACTTCTTCGTGGCTTTTTTAATTGTCGTTGTTTACGGCTCAACTCAGAAATACATTTGCATTACCTCTTCTAGCTACTGGCCCTAGTGATTTTTTTCCCCATTCTTCTATTCAACTGTCTAATAATGTCTAACTTCCAAATTGCCTTATTTGCTGGTATATGACATATTTACTGTTGGCTTCTTGAGACTTCTTCAATGAAGATGCGGGACATTGTGGTCCAGCCTGTGTATGCGTCAGCAAGTTTGTGGCCAGTGTTGCAGTTTCCAACCCAGAATCCCACTCGCACTTTTCCTTTGTGAATGTTATTGCAGTGTCCTTCAATGTGACGGTGACGGTGAAGGTTAAAGATTTGCCAGCTCCTGCTGCCATATAAAATGCTCCATCAATTGACCCAGGAGAGCTACACTCGGCGCCATTGAAGGTGAAATACCAACGACTGCAGCAGCTATCACAGTTGTAAATCCTGAGATTACCATCAAAGTAAACATGGAGGGCAGTTTCCGTGAAATTCTTCATGAATTGACAGCTCTGCAAAAGAAAGTGATAGTCTATTAGCTCGTCGTTTAAGAAAACTGACTACTAAAAATGTAATTTAAACAGCATGAAACGTGATGGAGAAGACACAGCTGAGCGCGATAAAATGCAAGAGACGACCAAGGAGCATGCAAAATAAGAAACATTAAATCTTCAGTCACCTAAGGATGTGTTCGTAAATCGAGCACAAGTCTTCTCACTTTCTCATCATTTTCAGAATGCCCTCCTCTTAGAGACATATTTCTCGGTAAACATGTTAGCACTTTGTTTTTTAACCCGAACACTTACATATATTTCGCCTGTATCTCTGCCATCTGCTTTTTTCCAAGAGCACTCTTTCCAGTTCACGTGGGAGGGAAGGTAGGCACTCCCCAGGACCTGACTCTCTCCTTTTTCCCCTCGCTTTCCCTTCAAGCCAACTCGACCCTGTTGTCCAGTCTTTCCCGGGCCTCCCTTTTCTCCCTTCACTCCATCACGTCCATCACGACCAGGTATCCCAGGGGATCCTGGGATGCCATTCACTCCTGGAATACCATTTGTACCTGGTTGTCCAACACCATAACACGATGGAAGAGGCTATAGTTGATCAAGAAATCACTATTTTCAAATAGAGATGTTATTGAAACAATTCGTACAAAATGTATTTTTGAAGACTTGAATAAAAAGAAACTGAACTGTTAGCTTGAACAAAGTTTTAAAACCTTTTATTTAGTGTTTGCGAAAGGTATGAAAAAACTCACACTGTTGTCAAGTGATTTGTTGTTCTTGTCTGTAACCGCTGTACACATGATGATGACAAGTGGTGACAGCATCAGCAATTTGAAGACTGGCAGAAGGTAAATAGAAAGTTGCGCCATCAATAACTTCTGACTGTTGAAACATAATCAAAAATATATGAAAACGAAAACCTTAGCAACTCGAGAGGAACTACTTGTAAATTGTTTTGCCTTAGTTTCAGATCAAATTGGGATATAGAACTGTTGGTTTAAGGGGTCAAGAGGGGAAACCAAATATAAAATCTTTTACGAGAAATCTTTGCTTGATCAAGTTCACCTTGGTCAAACAAGGACACCCGTCCTTGCAACATATCCCCAAAATACGCTCCTGCAATATATGCCGGGGATATACCCCTTGCAAAATATTCCCGGACCCACCATCTCATGTATTCTCCTGAAATAAAACTGTATCTTACTATAAAGAGAAGTTGCTGCAATGCTTTCGTGACTGAGGACAAGCCTGAATCAAAAAACTACTCAGAAACCATCAGATTGGAAAACAAGGATGTAACGAATTGAAGTAGTTGAAAAAACCATCTTGACTCTATGCTGAAGGCTAAAGTAAAGGAGCCGATACAAAGCGACATAAATTACAGAAATGTAAATTGGGGCATACAGCAGGGTCAAAACAGTCCTTGTCTTTGACATGACTGACTCAATCACTGATTTCGTTACTGGAAGGTCTTTGACATGACTGGCTCACTGATTTCGTTACTGGGACGTGTTGCATAAGCTTGAATTAACATCGCAAACTGTTTTACCCCTTTATATAGATACATGTTAGTTTTAATGCATATGACGATAAGGTTTCCTTTTCTTAAGATGTTTAATTTGTTTCCATTTCTTTTAAAAAAGTCACTCTGAGCCTTCATAAAACGTGTAGACATGCAGCTGACAGAAAAAAAAGTCGTGCTTTAAGTCACTTTCCAGAAAAAGCCTCTCTTTAATCCCCTCAAAAGATCAACTAAACAGCCTGACGGACCACGAAGACGATTAGAATTAGGCATTTTCCAATTTTAAATTTAATAAAGGAAATTCATTGTTGCAGCTCGAATATGGTAGGTCGGTGCTACTTACAAGAATCTCATCCTAAATAATTTGCTTTCTTCAAGCTGAAATTCCGATTAAACCCTTCACAGCCCTCAACTTGTTTTAAACGTGCTATGCTACAGTGTGGCTTGACTTTTGATTTGCACGAATGTTGCAAAAATGTAAAAACGGAGGAGTAAATATGGGGCAAAGATGGTTAATGCCACGGCTGCATACCAAAAAAAATAGGTTGTAAATATAGAGGCATTGGCATTTACCATTTTTGCCCCAGATTTATCCCTCAGTTTTTACATGTTTTGCTACGTATTTGCCGAGAGCAAATTCGTGCAAATCCATTTTTTCGTCCCAATTTTAAACGGCAACTCACCTAATGCTTCCCGGTTTGCCTGCTTTTATACTGTTTGTATTCCGTTAAATAGAAAGGGGCAGCAGTACCGCTTGCTATGAAATGTTTCGCGGCAATGAGTACAAGTAAAGAAAAGCTCGTATTTCTTTATATGATGACGATGATTTTGCAATATCTTATAACACGATACATGTCACGGATATAAATTACCCCCACTCGCTTTAATTTACGGAAAAAACATGCTAGGGAAGGTCGTGAAAGGAGGTGCCTAGCTCGCATCTGTAATGTATGGTTAGTAATAAGCACGCATGAGCAAATAAACAAAGGGATAAAGCCCAAAAACAAAAGAGCTGCGACATACAATGGGTCCAATGAAATAACAGGTTTTTTAAGGTGTGAGACTACTTCGTGAAAGAGTGGAAAGAACGGGAGGTTCCCTTTCCGTCTTAGGGAACAGGAAGTATCTAATATTAATTACGTTAACCAACCGATAATCCACTTTCAAACCAATCAGTTTTTACCCGGGGTTTTTATTGGCATTGCTTCAAGAGCGGGACACATTCTAGTCAAAACTAACGTCTTGACCCCGAGGGTTTCTTTTAAGTGCTTGCCCGAACAACAAAACTCTTTGTATGTTTTTGTCTACGCTGTATAACTGTCATATGACCTCTTGATAATCATTTCAAGGATGCATTAATCACTCAATGAGTAAATTTTTCCTCTTGTGGCTAGGGTTTGCTACCGAGCAAATTTTCTTTACTTTCTTTTTTCTGAGGTCTCTCCGGTTGTTCTCGAACAGCTAGAGCGGGAAAATTGCTTATTATAGCTGGCCATAATGGATTACTGGAGTTACCAAAATCGATAAAATCCTCTTACTTTTTGGCTTTAAACTGAGGCAACATCTCCTTAACGAAATGCCAAGAAAAATAACACCTTAAGAGAGAAATCAGGTCAGGTCAGGCTTTTTTTATAATCTTTTATTAAAATCCTTCGTAACCTTTTTACGGTTTGCAATAATATTGACACCGCGTCTAATCAGAACTCTACGTAAACAGTGTTTTTGTAGGCAAGACACCTTTGGGATAACCCTCGCGACCAGTCAAGCTTCCCACCTCATAGAGACTTGCGATTTGTAACGCTCTAAAGGATGATGTCGTTGATGTTAACTTTGGATCCATAAAGACCACCGACCAATCCAGATCAGTGATATAACAGGGGCAGCCAACGACGGGATGTTCCAAACGAGAGAAGTGTCTGAAATGGTTTTCTCTATGCTTTAGAAGCCTGTTTGATTAATTTGGAGCTCCACTAAAAACTCACCAGGTTAATCTGTTCGGATGTCTCAGGCCGGAAACTTTGGTCGTCTCGAAAGTTTTTGTGACTGGGTTTTTTGAGTCTCATCTGAAACTGTTGGCTACCCTGATATATAGGTATGGTGGAAAGTGCGAGGACATGAAGTACCCGTACTTTCGTAAGAAAATTCTATGGGAAGTTTTTACATATATATCAACGAAAAAAATATTGCAGAATTGATCAAACAACTTATACTACATATTTAGATTTCAGTCGGCATATTTATTGAATTTAACAACAAGATAAAGATTCGGAGACTTTTACATGTCTATAGTACTCATGTTCTTGTTATTAAAAGTCTTATTCGTTTGAACTCATATGCCGGTCGTATGTATTCACAAGTCGTTTGTCTGGGTAGTAAAAAACGTCTTTAATTTATTACTAAGTGTTTAAGGACCTGTGTCACGAAATTAACAGAATTCAAACAGTGAGGGCCACTACTAACCTTAGTGAAACAGAAAATTAAAGCGTCAAAAGAATAAAAGAGGAAAATACGATAGAAGGCATAGATGGACAAACTTGAAGAAGATTAAAATAGATTGCAATTTGCCGTTCTTGAAACCTGGCTAGCGTAACAGCTTTTCAAAGTTCTTTTTTGTTGTCAGTAACGCTTGAATTTTAGTGCTTTAGGGTAGATATTTGTTTGATTCGAAACTCGTGATTTTACATTTTACGAGCAAAATTCCTCGCTAACGCGTCCGACCTTAGCGAATAAGGACGCATTGATTATTAACAAAATGAACCAAACAGCGGCCGTGACAGTTTGCCAATTTGACAATCAGACAAATTGCATTTGCACTTGCCTGAGAAGACAATGGTGAGATGCTACCATCTGTTGGATTATGATTGAACGTAGACTGCAAAACAGTCCGTATTTTTGCGTATTCAAGTACGCGCGAGCAGTCAAACAAAAGGTCTGGAACGAGAGAACAGAGAGCGAGACCTGGGGAGAGACGCTGAAAATACTCTTGCTCTTCGGGCGTGTGAGGCTCGCGCGCTTCGCGCGCGTAAGACTCTTACGGCATGCTTTACCGATTTCTTTACTGATTTTGAGAAAAAAAAAACCGACTGTTTTGCAGTCTACCTCCCCTCTCGCCATCTTCTCTTCCTTTTATCCCCTCCTTGTCCCTGTTGAAGTGCAATAAGATTCAGCAAAACTGATCAGTGACGATTCGAGCTCTGAAAATTAGTCAAGGAACTAAACTTGGAATACTTACAAAGCCCTTGTTCAGTTTATTTGACGTGATTACTTTTTGATTCAATAAGAAAATAAAACAACTTATGTACCTATCAATGTAAACCCCGTGGGGGGGGGGGGGGGGGGAGATTTGACAAATTTTGAAATTTTTTGATCAAATTCCCCAGGGTGGGAAACGAAAGGTTGATCAAAAGTGTCAAAAAAGCCCCCACCCCAGGGGAAAAAATCTAAACAAACAATACTATAACACTATATAAAACAAATTAAAAGAATATTTCAAAAGTACGTTCCTACTACTTTTATTTATGGTTAACGTAAGCTCCGTTAAATTACCCGCTTCTGAATTGATACCAGGCTTCTGTCGGTCAAAGTCAAATGTCCCGACTCCGGGGTCGCTTCGCACGATCAAAAGCCCGACAGGGGGATAGTCTCAGACATCAAATCCCCGCCCCTTGCCCGCACTCCCCCCTCACGGGATTTACATTGATAGGTGCATTATTGAGGGCACGACTTCCAGTGAGCAATATTTGAAATAATCGCCTCCCTCGAATAATCGCCTCCTTTTTGTGCGAAAAAAGAAATAATCGCCTCCGGCTATTATTCGAGGAAATACGGTATATCAACTCGCACAATATTTAACCTACACAAAAAACGAGAGTCATAAGAATCAGCATTTACTTTTGTACGAAAGGTAAATTATGAATGAAAAAGATTCCTTGAAAAAATTAGAGAAGTGATGGAAGTAATACCACTCAAGGGCGCAGTCCGGTTGGTTATTTGGGGAAATGATGTTGATTTGGGAAGGAAATAGTTTAGGATAGAAAAGGTTAATACACATAAACCAGTTAGTCCGCTAATGGCATGAGAGGCAGCTTCTTGTGGTGGTGGACTATCTCGTAATTGTCTACGTCTAATTATTCACTTCATATTTTAATTTCAACAACCCCCAAATCCAATATTTTCCGATTTTTCCAAATTTTAAACATCTGCCCCCCCTCCCGCTTTAATTTTTAAACGATTCGAAAAATCATCCAAAAATTCTGGAAAAAATATTGAATTAAGGACTCCAACTTAAGTGCGTCATTTTTTGATGGAATAAAATCTTGGCTACATATTTAAGGAAAAGTGCTTTTA